AAACTTACAGGTTAAACATGAAATGACTGAAAAATATGACACTTATTCAGAGCAGCATTCTAGATATCCTCTAGTCCCCCGTTTTTCACCTACTCTACCAATGGAAAAATTTTTTAAGAAATTATGCTATATAATTATTATATTAAAAAAAAAATCGGTTTGGGTCAGTTGTGTAGAAAAGCAGATCAGATAACAGGTTCCCAGATTCCATTTCATATATTTTGACGCGTAACCTCTTGTGGTGGGATTTATTACCTCACCTTGTTCCAGAGCCCTGGTGGCGCCAGCAGTTAAGCATTTGGCTGCTAATCAAAAGGTGGGCAGTTTGAACCCACCAGCTGCTCCTTGGAATCCCTATGGGGCAGTTCTCCTCTGTCATATAGGGTCGCTAGGAGTCAGAATTGACTCAACGGCAATGGGTTTTGGTTTCATTCCAGAAAATATTCAGGCAATTTAAAAAGCCACATAAATTAAGACTAAAAGTAAAATAAGCAAGAATAAGCGTGGGGATCAAAAATGAAGCCAGGAACGATGCAACAACAACAGTACACTATAAAGACCTATACACTTAGTATGGATGGGGGACCCATTTGGATCTAGTTTTCTAGAAGTTAACACTGGAAGAGAAACGTGGTTACTATGTCCACAAAATAAATACAGTTGCTCAGAAAAAGGTTACAACTTTTCTTGATACAAAGAACAGTCAGGTTTTTCTCCAAGGTTTTTATAAAGAGGACACTATACGATTTAATAAGCTATAGCTAGCACCACTCTTACTATGCTTAGAGTTTTATGGGCTGATTCTTATAGTTGACTTCAATATACTACCAGTTGCTGTTAAGTCGTCTCTGACTCATGGCAACCCCATGTGTGCCAGAGTAGAACTGTGCTCTATAGGGTTTTCAGTGGCTGATTTTTCCAAAGTAGATTATCAGGTCTTTCTTCTGAGGTGGCCCTGGGTGGGCTTGAACCTCCAACATTTCAGATAGCAGCTGATGGCGTTAACCATTTATACCAACCAGGGACTCTGGATTTCAATATAGGTGATGGGCCAGTATTATTGTCATGAACTGTGAAGGGTCTGTGTGTAAGCTAACAAGTTAGCAGGTTACTGTTTCATGGATACTGGCGGAAGAGACAGACTTCTGGGTCCAAGACAAAGGACGGTTTATTACTCACAGCAGTGGCAGTAGCCTGAATGTCAACATTTGTGTTGGTTCCTGGAGCCTCAATTCCCATTAAAAAAACAAACCAAACCCACTGCTGTCAAGTTGATTCTGACTCATCGTGACCCCATAGGGTTTCCAAGGCTATAAATCTCTATGGAAGCAGACTGCCACATCTTTCTTCCACGGAGCTGCTGGTGGTTATGAACCACCGACCTTTTAACTACAGAGCCACCAGGGCATTCCATTCCCATAGGACTATGGAAAGAGGGACAGTTGTTACCTACATATATCGTGGTTATATTACTGGAGAGGAACCCTGCGTTTAGGGAACTTGAATCTTTTATAATGGGAACTAAGCCTGCCTTCCTTTTGCCCCAGAGAGAGACATTACCTTTATTATGCAGGACAGTAAACAAAGTTCTATCTTCTAAGACTGTTCACTATACAAACATCCTTGAATAGAGAGTTTGGAGCCCAGGAAATCAGTGCCTCTCCTCATGAGATGTGCAGGCACAGGAGTGACCCTCAGAGAAGTTATCTCCCAACAACTCTGCATTCCAGTTCACAAGAGTGACCCTCCGAGAAGTGTCTCCCAATGACTCTGCATTCCAGTTCACAATCCAGTTTTATCTGGCTTGATCCAAAACTAACTTTTAGACTATCTGGAGGAATTGATGAACTGGGCTTCATTTGATGCTCGCCTGTCACATACATTGCATTCTTCCACTTCCTAGCCACTGAGCACAGTGATGAACAAAACAGACATGGATCCTGCCTTCACAGAACAGACACAAATACAACTATTTTTTTTAAAAAGAAGTTCTTCCTGAATGTTCCTCTCAACAAGGTTTTTCATTAATATTGGTGACAATTAATTCAATATTCTACTGTCTGACAAGTATCTGGAACCTTGCATATACTTCCAAATGAATACGGACACACATGCTTTAAGAGGCACTTAAACAAGGCTAGGGTTGCCATTCGCTCATGAAAACCGAGAACGAGAAACCTAACAGGGATGTGTGAATTACTCCACAGTCACCATCTCCAAGTACTCAGGATCAGAGGGCAATTCTTTCTTAAGAATGGCTTTAAATGTTCCAGTGATTAAGTGAGCAAGACCGTGAAGTTTTTTTCCCCACATATCAAGGCACTGACAGTTCTTCTGGAGTATGTTCATTTAATTTTTGTATACCTCTTATTTGAGGTGGGGCTCTTCTGTGACAGAAAAGTCGTCATTGAGAAGGTAAAATGCCCTGACATGGTCCAATTCTTTAGAAAGTTTCTCCTCCCTGTTCTGAGGAGAGTTCCAATGTCTTCACTGACTACTCATTTACCTTACTAGCTAAGTTAACGCAACCATCTTTTTCTCAGAACATAATTAAAGATTGACCTTTATTTAATTAGCCTCAAGTCACCTCCAAATAAAAAATAATGATTGCCAACACGGACCGGACTTAACCTGTGAGCCAGGCAGACAGAGGCTCATTCCTGAATTCCATTACCTAACCTGCCTTCTTTTCAATATTTCTGCTGTTTTTCCCCCTCAGAGAACCTGCTGTTTCCTACTGACACAGTGGCCATACTCACCTAACTTGGTGGCAATGGCATATAGGAGCAGAACCAGCAGTGCCAGTAGGATGAGTGTCCATACTCCAGTTTGAGGGAGCTCTCTATTCAGGTGAAAAATTAGAGATGAAAAAGACCTGTTTATGGCCCAGTCCCTTCCTAGCCAGTGCTGGAGCATTCCTGTAGTGAAGCCTGGACGGGCTGGCTCTAATGACTTCAACAACGCGCCTTCTCGCTTTCTGTTTGGAAGATGAGGATGTCTCTTAAAATTTTCTTTCTTTTATTTGGGGTAAGTTTCAAACTAGAATTTCCTTTGTTCAGTGTTACTCCGTTTCTCTCTTACTGTTTCGGTTCAACTACAGAAGCTCCACGAAATAGGTATTTTCAAAGAGTCAGTATAAATATACAAATAACATTTAAAATGCCTTGCATGAGGAGGAGGTGGACATCATAAAGTGTCTTACTCTGTCTGAGGAGATCATCACATTTGGTAAAGCTGAGGACCAGTGAGTACGTGGGAGATCCTCAGTGAGATGGACAGGCACGATAGTCACAATGATAGACTTGAGTATGCTGACAATCATGAGGATGATACAGGACTAGGCAATGTTTTCGTTCTGTTGTACGTAAGGTCACCAAGAGTCTGAGTGGACTTACAACAGCTAACAACACAATTCATCTGGTCATTCCAGTAATGTGCCTCTTTTGGGGCAATATGATGTAGGGGAAGAGAGTACACTTGGGCTTTAGCGGTAGACACACCCAGGTTAGAATCATTGTTCTAACTTAATTGTGCGGTTATATTGTTGTTAGCACTATTATTGCTGTGTTCAGTGAGTGGAAAAAAAAAAAAACCAAACCCGTTGCCGTTGGGTCAATTCCAACTCTTAGTGACCCTATAGGGCAGAGTAGAACTGCCCCATGGGGTTTCCAGGGAGCAGCTGGTGGATTCATACCGCAGACCTTTTGGTCAGCAGCTGAACGCTTAACCACTGCACCACCAGGGCTCCAGGATTCAGTGAGTGTGATTCCTGTGTGCCAGGCACTGTAGTAAGTACTTTCTTTAAATCTTGCCAGCAAATTTATGAAGTGGGTGCTATCATTTCTATTTTAGAGTTTAAAATTTAGTAGTTAAGAGTGGAAGCTCTGGGGCTAAATTGCTGCTTAAAATGCCAGCTCCCTTGCTTCCTAGCACTGTGGCCTTTCACGTAACCTCCCATGCTAGTTTCCCTACCTATAAAACGGAGGATGAGGATAATGCCTGCCTTGTAGATTGTTTCGAGGGTAGGTTGCATGTGTTAATACATGTAATTGATTAGATCAGTGTCTAGCAGGAGCACACTTCAATTTAATCAATATTGATAATACATCAGTAAAGTTTGTTCAGGGGCACATAACTAATAAGTGGCATCCAAAATGAAAACCACAATGCGTTCTACCCAAATTCCATCCACATTATTAACCATTTTGAATATCCTGGCTTGGTAAGGATACTTTTTTGAGCCTCAGTTTTTCTTGCTGATGAAATGGGGATAAGAAGATATCTCTTGCACAGTCATTGTGAGCATTAAAATGCAATAATGTAGGTAAAGACATGATTGCAGAGCCTGGCCCAGAGCTGGGGACCAATTGGTGTTAGTACTCTCCTCTCTATATCTTTATCCATAGAATATCTGTATGTATGTCTCTGCCTGTGTAAACATATGTATATACTCATGTATTATATAGATTTATTTCTGTGGAGCCATGGACTTTCTCTTAAGTACTTCTCATAATATTGGAACTGCAGAATGCTTGGAAGTGTATTTTTATGGGTCCACTCCCATTTAAAAGAACTAGATTGGCTTACTGGCTAATTAAAAACACTTTCCTTCCTAATAGGGTTTTATTTTATAGCTTGTATGTTCCAATGGCTTTAAGCACATCTTTCCCAGATTTTTAACATAGTTCACTGAATGTTTCAAAACTGCCTAGGTATTTTTTCTTTTGCAAATACAGATTAACCATCATTTCAAGTTTATATCACAGAGGGATGAGAAAAGACAGACAGAAACAAACTAGCAGAGGGAAATGTGATGATATGTTTTTGCTGTTGTGCCTACTTTCTTTTTTTTTTTGGTGTGTGTGGGAATGGGTGTGATGTCATCTTGTCTCCACCCCCTGTGAGTAAGCCCACGGCACTGCTAAGTGCAGCCGCCCGCCTCTGCCTCTGGGAGACAGTCCACTTAAATGCAGCTCCAGGGTTGCGAGACACCCACCAGCATCACTCCCCGTGCGAGGTGGCAAATGCAACATGCTCTCCAGCCTGGGGTGTCTCCTTCTCTGTGGAAGTATTGCACTAGCCCTGGGAAATGCACAGAAATTGCCAAAAGGCAAGTAGCTCTGATGTTTTATGTTTTAAAAATAATGTTTAAGAGATAGGAGTTTTGATGTTTTGATATTAAATATGATCTGCTTTACCATGTGGGGGAATAGAGTTATTCTGCCGAAAGGCAAAGTTCAAATATGTGAAGGAATCACTTAAAACTTTTACTCCCCCCCCCGCCCCCGTTAATTTACTTTTCAACTGGAGCTCTTTATTGCAAAAATGAAAACCAGCTTCTGAATTAAGTTTAGCAGATGTTCACAGTGACTTGAATGGCATAGTTTCAAACTACAGTATCTTTATATTGAATCTTATTATGTTGTTGGGTATTGCAGTCTGTTAAAAAGAGTTGTTTGGTGTTTTTATTCCCCTACCCAGAGAGGAAACTATTATTAGCTTAAAGTTTAAAAGAAGCTAATTCTGAAACCTTGGATGTTTGGTATAAGCTGCACGCATAACCTGGAGGTTGAGGGGCTTCCAGGCATGGAGCACCAAAGTGGCTGTGTGCTTGTCTGTAGACACTTCTCTCCAGTATCTGGAGGAGGGTTTGATTTGCTGGACAGCATACTTCCCTTTTTCCTTGCTAACTTGCTCTCATTTTAGTGTTGGTATTTTGTTTACAAATGTCATTGGAAGAAAATGAAAACCTTTAAATTTAGACCCTAAAAACATGTTTGAACCCATTAGCACCAAACAAGAGACTCTTGCTGTCTTTGAACATAAATGCTGCATGTACTTTTGTTTCTTTGCAGAGGTACTTTTCTAAGCCAATTCTCAGTCTGTAAAGGCTTTTTATGGTTGCAGACTGCTGTAGTCAGCAGGATTATGAAAAATGGGCTGAGACTTACAGTACAGTTACGATGGAAAATATCGGTCGAGGCAAAGCAGAGCTACAGGCTTGTCCAAAAAGCAGGTATGCATAGAGTCAGAAGGAAAGGCTATTAGTGTCAGAACACATGAAAGATTATTGTTAGACCCTCTCTCTGGATAGTTTGCTCTAGGATCCTCTGTCCCAAGTGAAAGCTGATCTCTCCTCAGTGTGTAAAGTGAAACTTGAGTTCTGAACGTGAAGGCTGAAAAGTTTGGATAGTTGATATTTCACATGATACTGTGAAAAGCAATAAGAAAAAAGGCTCAGTAAACCTTTTCAACTGTGGTTAAGTAATTATGCAAAGAAAAATATAAACAAACACTATTAGATCTTTTTCTTCTCCCAAGAATTTTGTCACTCGGTCATACTGAAAGTATCTACACAAATCAATTATGAACCGTAAGCATTCAGAATTATTTGTCCTTACTGATGAAATACTTGACAAGGACCTACCATTTATGAGGATTCAGGGTTTTCTCAGGCTCAATACCTACAGATGGTTTTATTTTACTTTGTATTCACTGTGATGGGATGATAGCCATAGTTTTGTTACTGCAAACTTCTCTGAATTCCAAGTGCTTTCATTATCGTGTTGCAATCCCTGGATAAAATCTCTTGACACAATTTTCCTTTATTTGCAGTGGTAGGAAAAAAAAAATCATAGTTGTCAGTTAGGTCAGAAGCTTTTCCTAGTTCTTTGTGCTTTAATCTGCGGTATTTTCATCCACGTTTCTACTGTAAATTTAAAATACCCATAATTTTAGTAGTTTGAAACACAGTCAAATTATAATAGTTATAAAATGAATGACAAGTTCTCTTGTTTCTAATGATATTTTTTTTCTTTATTATGAAAGCTACTGAGGAACTTTTCTTTTAGCTGAAGTGGCCTTTCTAAAACTGAATTCCGGTAATAGGTGTATCGTCCTCAAAAGTGTGTATGTGCGTGTGTGTGCGCGCTGGGCGGAGTGCATGGCACATCTGCTTCCGCCTGTAACTTCTGAAGCATTTCAAGCTTTTGGGGAGTCACAATAGATGTTAGTATTTCACAGGTTCTGAAAATTTCTCAGTAAAGAGCCCTGTCCAACTTTGTTAACCCTTTGTTTTCCAAACTCATGTGGCCAAGAATCCTTTTTCTAGTAGAGCAGCTATAATATCCCGCCAGGGGTTGTCTTTCATAGAACACATTTTGGAAAATGCTGAGTGAAATAAGAAAAAAAGGATAAAAGGTTTTTCTCTTTTTCTTCCTTCCTACTTTCACGTTACTTAAATAATATTTGTGACTTAACAAGACAGTAGAATGTTGGAGGTAGAAAGGACATTATTGATCTTCTAGTCTAATGGTTTCCAGACTTTTGGATTTATAGATCAGTAAAAAGTTGCTTTTTTTAAAAAATAATTAATTAATTTTTTATCAGGTTCAGAATCCAGGGAATACTTCAATTTTGCCATGTAAGAATGTGGAAAGGTGGTGGTGGGGGGGAACATCGTTCATAAAAGCAAGCTCTTTTAACAGATTTATAAAAAAAATGAATCTAATTACATGAATAAGCCCACTGTCCTTATTTTTCTCATTTTACCACAGACTGATGAAAACTTCATCACAGACCCCTATTTGGGAACCACTGACCTAGTTTAACCATTTATTTATTACAAGTGAAGACACAATGGGGCAGGGGAGCCTAAGCAACTTTCTCAAGCCAGGACCGGATCCCGAGCCTCTGACCGGAATCTGTGTTCAAGTTTGCCTCTCGCCTTGGCAAGCAGGCTCCCCTGGACCTTATAAACCCTATTCTGCAGTTTACATGTGAACACTACCCTTCCCGTAAATAAAGTTGTTTCTTGTAAAGCTCTTAAATACATCACCTTAATTTTCACATTTTCCCAAGTACGTGTCCTCATTATAGATGAGATGAAGGTACGATGTAAAGTAACTTAATGATCATTGTCTTCATTGCCATTATCATCTTGGTCATATATAAGAAATCACTTGTTACGTGTTTTATGTTTATTTGCATACCTACTCATATACCTTGTTATACAAAATAAGTTACTGGAAGTTTCTTGCTTACTTTTTGAGAGCTTAGAGTATGAGTTGTTGTTAAGTGCTGCTGAGTCAGTTTCGATTCATCATGACCCCATGTGACAGATTAGAACTGTCCCATGGGGTTTTCTTGGCTGTAATCTTTTATTTTTTTTTAATTCTTTACTGTGCTTTAGTTGAAGGTTTACAGAGAAAATTAGTTTTTCATTAAACAATTAATATACATAATGTTTTGTGACACTGGTTGCCAACCCCATGAAGTGTCAACACTCTCCCCTTCTCGACCTTCGGTTCCTCATTATCAGCTGTCCTGTCCCCTCCTGCCTTCTCATCCTTGCCCGTTGGCTGGTGTGCCCATTTATTCTTTTCATTTTATGGGTCTGTCTAATCTTTGGCTGACGGGTGAACCTCAGGAGTGACTTCAGTACTGAGTTAAAAGGGTGTCCAGGGGCCATACTCTCGGAGATTCTCCAGTCTCTGTCAGACTAGTAAGTCTGGTCTTTTTTTGTGAGTTAGAATTTTGTTCTACATTTTTCTCCAGCTCTGTCCAAGACTTTCTATTGTGATCCCTGTCAGAGCAGTTGGTGGTGGTAGCCAGGTACCATCTGGTTGTGCTGGACTCAGTCTGGTGGAGGCTGTGGTACTTGTGGTCCAATAGTCCTTTGGACTAATCTTTCCCTTGTGTCTTTGGTTTTCTTCATTCTCCCTTGCTCCAGATGAAGTGGGACCAGTGGAGTATCTTAGATGGCTGCTCACAATCTGTTAAGATCCCAGACGCTACTCATCAAAGTAGGATGTAGAACGTTTTCTTTATAAACTATGTTATGATGATTGAGCTAAATGTCCCGCAAAACCATGGTCCCCAGCCCTCAGCCCAGTAATTTGGTCCCTCAGGGAGTTTGGAAGCGTCTATGGAGCTTTCATGACCTTGCCTTGGACAAGTTGTGCTGGCTTCCCCAGTATTGTGTACTGTCTTACCCTTCACCAGAGTTACCACTTATCTATTGTCTGTTTAGTGTTTTTTTCCCTCCCATCCCTCCTCTCCCTCATAACCATCAAAGATTGTTTCTTTTTGTGTATAAACCTTTTCATGAGTTTTTATAATAGTGGTCTCATACAATATTTGTCCTTTTGTGACTGACTTATTTCACTCAGATAATGCCCTCTAGATTCATCCATGTTGTGAGATGTTTCACAGTTTCATCATTGTTGCATAGTATTCCATTGTGTGTATGTACCATAGTCAGTTTATCCATTCATCTGTTGATGGGCACTTAGGTTGTTTCCATCTTTTTACTATTGTGAATATGCTTCAATGAACATGGGTGTGCATATGTCTATTCGTGTGATGGCTCTTATTTCTTTAGGATACATTCCTAGGAGTGGGATTGCTGGATCCTATGGTATTTCTATTCCTAGCTTTTTAAGGAAGTGCCATATTGTTTTCCAAAATGGTTGTATCATTTTGCATTCCCACCAGTAGTGCATAAGAGTTCCAGTCTCCCAGCAGCCTCTCCAACATTTGTTCTTTTCTTTTTTTTGATTTGGGCCAGTAATGTCAGGGAGAGATGGCATCTCATTGTAGTTTTGATTTGCATTTCTCTAATGGCTAGTGATCGTGAGCATTTCCTTATGTGTCTGTTATTGGCTGTAATCTTTACGGGAGCAGATAGCCAAGTCTTTTTCCCCATGGAGCCACTGGGTTGGTTCGAATTACCACCCTTCAGGTTAGCAGCCAAGCTCTTAACCATTGTGCCACCAGGGCTCCTAGAGTATAAATTAGAGACAATTATTAATAGAGCTATTCTCAGCTCCACACTTAATGACTATATTCTTTGGCAAGTCATTTACCTTGGCCAAGCCTCAGTTTTCTCATCTGTAAAGTAGGAATAATGATAATTATCTCATAGTATTGCTAGGATTAAATGAGATAAGAGATGTAGAACTTTCAGTAAAGGATCTGACACAAAACAGGTATTCAATAAACACTTACTGGATCATAGACAAGTAGGTCAACATTAAAAAATATGCACACTAAATATCATATGATCTTGTATCCAAACTGTAAGGCAAATCTCTTGGGGGGCAGCATGCT